CGTTCTTTCAAGGTTCATGCCCATCGACGGCACGTGCAGTCGATCAATAGCCGAGAAATATGCTTAACGGTATCTTGGCCATCCATGAGGGAAGGGGTGTGGTAGATCGCGGAGATATTACGCCAATATGTAGTATCAACGGCGAATCATCCCCGGAGACACAAAACAATGATAAATGAGGGGACCCGGTACTCAGACGCTCTACTCGAAGCCTAGCGAGAGCTAGTCTTAAAGCATGGAGACCTGATAGCTCTAACTTCCGTCCTTGATCCCTGGTAGCGTGAAGACTAATTGTTAGGTCGGGCAGCAGTTAAGGCGAAGGAAACTAGTTTGCAGCGAACATGACTAAGGACCTGGTAGTCAGTGTGCATTAGGCAGAGGGAACTAGGTGGGTAAATGACACCGGAATGATGCTGAGGACAGCCGTATAAGCACTTGAGCTAGAACTGGACTACTTTACTGTACTAAGAGAGCCCTTAATGAATAGATGGATAATGAGAGCTGCACGGCACGGACGAGAGGTCTCTTGTCGAGACGCATCAGAAACAGGTTGTTCTATAGTAGTGCCAAGTCGAAAAAATAACCAATGAAGGTCGTCGATTACGTAGACAAGCGATATACAGTACCTAGATACTCGAATAGGGCAAGTAACACGATGTGTGCATTTGTGCGTTAATATAGATCATACCATCATCTGTAGGGAGGGTTCTTAGCTAATACTTACCGGCTTAACGGTTTTATCTAACCTACACTGCACTGTAACCAAGGAGATCCCCGGATCCCTCCCGGTGACGGAATTTGGGAAGAGACGGAGAATAGGTATAACGTAAGATACCTCCATCATACGAGAAAGTATGAATAAAAAATATGAAACTGCTAGGGCAAGTTTAGGATAGCCTATCCGGACCTATCCCGTTTGCAGTTTGATCTACACCACGATTCCGCGTAACCAACGCAGGACGCACAAAACCATCATCAAATGCGGCTAAGCCGATGTGACCCTCAACCGTACCCCTGACACTCGCGCATCAAGGATGCGGGGAAGTGGCCCAGCTATGCCTACTTGAGGAGTAGCATGGGCTTCGTTTGAAGTTGCAGCTGTGCTATCTAACTCTAATCCTCGATTTCATTTGCTGCTTTTCATTATATAAAATGCTCATTTGGTAGGTCGCAATCTACAGACAAGTGGGATTTATGTGATTGGTAAATCTGCTTTAATTAGACGATTCTAGAACGTGTGGTTTCCGTTGCACCGAGCTGCGTGCCACATGCAGTGTACGCAGCTTAGTCTTGTGCACGGTCAACGCACCCATGCGATTTCAAATTTCGTGTCCTGATCTAGCCCAGCAGCTCCGTGCCTGTGCCCAGCGTTTGCAGCACGATCGTAAACCCGGGCTCGCGGATCTGTTGGGTACGATACTTGTGCTAGGGGCACCTCACAGGAACCAGTATCCGGGGATAACATCACCTGCATAAACAACACGTTCTAGGTAGCTCAAGCCAAGCCGTGTATCATACCTAGTGCGCAGAATTTATTCTTTCGTGGCGGAGAAGTCGGTGCCAGGTGTTCTAGTGTACCTTGGCTGCCCCAGCATCGGCATAGAGGCGTCCAGCCAAGCTCCGGAAATTCGGCTAGCGGTTTGACTACCTGTTGTGGCGCCATGAGAGCTGACGTGATAGGTAATGCTCACCCTTCTATTCTCGACTCTCACTCGCTCGCTATCTTGCTCTGTCGGGCAAGCGTTACAAAAGGAACCAAACACCGACCACTAGTAATCGAGCTCCGGTGTCTCCGGCGTTGAACAAGAATCTCTTATTAAGGGCACCTGTCGCAACGTCATAGCATGAATGAGATGTTTAGTAACTCCGACCACGAGACCACCTCTGAATCGTTCGGGAACAACGATGAGTACGGTGTGGTAGAGGAAGAGGGCTCATGAGGAAGAACACATAGTACGTACAAACTTCGACTGTTCTTTTTGAATTTACTTCCTCGCTATTCTCATAAATCCTATTAACATAGATAATAGGCCTTTCGGAAACAACGTGGACTCAGTAGATTGCTGACCAGATTGAACATCTTCGTATCACATAAATACGAGCGTTATGTCACTCCCCAATTAAGAGCAAGTGTTTCACCTACTGAACGTGAATTAGAAATGATCCATTCTAGCTCATTTGTTTTGAACCTATCCAGGCCAAGGCGATATGTGGCTTATTCACCCGACACCACACGCCGTTAGGAAGATTATACCGTCGCATAATCCTTCCACGGATACCTCATCGCCTTCCATTTATCACTATAGGCCTTATATCTGTGAGAATTCTTACCACAGGCAGTGTCACATGGGCACTCACTATATATAATAATCAATCCTATTGTCTCGGGATGTGAGCGGTTTCTGCTTCCATTTAGGCGACACGTGCAAGAAACAAGCTGCACGACAACATGACATCAGCGTTCGGCATTTACACTAAGCATTCAATAGGCCTATAAAAGGGATATTCTCGCGGCTGATATAAGAGAAAGTCAGCGTGTCGGGATTCTGGTCTGACATGCTGGCGCGGGCCGCGTAACTCAGCCGGCTTCAACGCACGCTTGATCACCGGTCGATCACCCGACGTGCGCATCAACGCCCTATTCCATTCGATAGGACGGAGTTAGGACAAACACTCGTAGATTGGAATGTAGTATTTTCGGTGTTTGCATTACACGGGAAAGAGCCCGTAGCACGTTCAACTCTATCATAGTCCAGGTCTTTTTTAAAGTTTTGTGTCTCGCAAACAACGGTCTTCGTAATTGCGGAGCTTACTATAGCCCATAGTTGAATATCTAAATATATCCCGAGAGGAACGAACTCAAGAGGGTGTAAGAATAACGAGACGCACTAAAGGTAGAGAGCAGCTTATTAATATCAATAAGCACGTGGTAGGGGCAGATGGGGATGAATGACCAGAACGTCTTTACGTCCCTGATCGTAAGCTACATAATTAGGTGCATATGGACAAGTACCGGACTTAACAGCGTTCTCCTTTCGGTATTTAGTATAGAGACATGAAATTACGGCTCTATTTTGTAGTAGACATAAATAAGTATTTTGTTTATCTCACTATTCATTGAACTCTAATAGGAAGAATCTCGGTAGAGGGTAATTGAGAGTTTCTAAATTAACCCAAACGTAGACCATGAAGACTAAGCTTCTTGACTAAAGGGTCACGTTAACTATCTCATGGTTATACGTGTAGCACTACTAGTAAATAAACACTACTACCACCAACACCACAACAAATGCAACCGCACCAGCGTATGCCCCCTTCTACTCTTGCCTCTTGCCGTCCACTTATCCCTCATTATAGAGACACACTTTCACATCTTCTCTTTCCCAGTCACCCCAACAATCACTACCCGACCATAGCAACGGACCAGGGGGGGGGGGGGGGGGGGGGGCGGGGGGGGGGGCGGGGGGGGGGGGGGGGGGGGGGGGGGGGGGGGGGGGGGGGGGGG